CTGACTTCCCCGCCTCACAAGCCCTTCCTTCATGAATCACCGAGTCATTGCAACTCCAGAGGTTGAGTCAAATCTTTTAGATTGATTAAAAAAAAATGATTTTTACAAAATTGACTACAAGACCTCAAAACCATGGAGCTATACTGAGACCATTCAGAACGTGTTGACTGCCACAGCTATCCTATCAGGGGTTCAATTTGGTGGCTTCACATGGCTGCTAGCTCCCTCACTGGACAGTGACCTACCAGCAGGTCTTGGAGTGTGAGCATAGTGTCAGTAGGTCACTAGGGCTGTGGCACACAGTGTCTGTATTAGTAGGGATTCTGTAAAGAAACAGGACTTACAGAATTAATATATAGATTAAAAAGTCATCTGTTAGATCGGCTTACAGGGTGACCTCTGGGTAGCCCCACAGCGGTGCTATTTCACAGCAGGAAGGCAGAGAATCTGGTAGTTGTTCAATCTGTGGGACCAGATGTCTCAGTGGTCCCAATCTAGTGCAGGAGGCCTGGAGGGTTCCTGCAGAGTTGCTGGTCTCCAGTCTATGTTGGAAGGCTGAAGGAGTTAGTTCTAATGTCAAAGGAGGAACGCAGAGCAGCAGCAGAGATACGTCATCAGGGAGAGCGAGGGAAAGCAGACAGAGCAAACCCTCTTTCTCCCATTCCTGTTTTGTTTTTTTTAACCATGTGTATATATGTGTGTGGGTTGTGCAAGAGTCATGTGGGATCCCCAGGAGCTAGAGTTAAGGCAGCTGTGAGGCACTCAGTGGATGCTGAGCGCTGAACTCAGGTCCTCTGCAACCACAAGAACGGTATGCACTCTTTTAACTGCTGACCCACCTCTCTGCTCCCTTTCCTGTCCCATCTGCCCCCAGAAGGTGTCAATCACATTGAGGGTGGGTCTTCCTATTTGAGATAGTCTGATTAAGAAACAGCACTTAGAAGCCTGGTGGTGGTGGTGGTGGTGGTGATGGTGGTGGTGGTGGTGGTGGTGGTGACACACACCTTTAGTCCCAGCACTTGGGAGGCAGAGGCAGGCAGATCTCTGAGTTTGAGGCCTGTCTGGTCTACAGAGGGAATTCCAGGACAGCACCAGGGCTGCACATAGAAACATCATCCTGAAAAAAGAAAGAAAGAGAGAAAGAAAGAGAAAAAGAAAGAAAGAAAGAAAGAAAGAAAGAAAGAAAGAAAGAAAGGAAGGAAGGAAGGAAGGAAGAAAGAAAGGAAGGAAGGAAGAAAGAAAGAAAGACAGGGAGGGAGGGAGGGAGGGAGGGAGGGAGGGAGGGAAGGAAGGAAGGAAGGAAGGAAGGAAGGAAGGAAGGAAGGAAGGAAGGAAGGAAGGAAGGAAGGAAGGAGGGAAGGAAAAGAAGGAAGACCAACCACTGGGGAGGCAGAGGCAGGCAGATCTCTGAGTTTGAGACTAGTTTGGTCTACATAGCTACACAGAGAGAGACCCCATCTCAAAACACAAAACAAAAAAATCTCTCATGGGGTGCTCACTGGCTTGCACTTTAGTTGACTCCAGATGCTGTCAAATTGACAACCAAGACTAGCCATTCCAGGACACACTTGGGAAGTTACAAGCTCACTTGTAGGGAAGAGGCTGGAGTAAATGCAGCACGGCCTTCTCACACACTTGTTTTTACTGACAGAACGCTGCAGGCAGAGCATTCACAGGCTCTTGTTTTAGATGGCGATTGCTCAGGTCTGAAATTTCATATTGTTTCCTGGTCCCTGTCTCTCCTTTACCTGGTCAAGTGCTCACCCTCCTTATAGTGGCAGACTCCTTCACCACCTCTGTCTTTTCAACTCTGCTACTTTTGACAGGTTTCTCTCATTTCTTGTCTCTGGATATAGCTAATACTTTTTTATTGTATGCTGGACATAGTAGACATCACGTTACAGAATGTCTGAATTTTTAATAGAGTATTGATTAGCTTGATCGTGTGTGCGTGCATGCGTGTGTGTGTGTGTGTGTGTGTGTGTGTGTGTGTGTGTGTGTGCACTCATATGTATGTTTGGGTGCTTATACACACATATACATATGGAGGTCAGAGGTCAATACCCTGGACCTTTTTCAATCGCTCTCCACTTTATTTTTTTGAGACAGGATCGCTCAGTGAACCTGAAGCTCAGCAATTCAGCTACACTGGCTTTGCCAATGAGGCCCAGGAATCCACCTCTCTTCTTCCCCAGGACTAACCACCCCATCTGGGTTTTACAGAGGCTCTAGGGCTCGAACTTGGGTCTTCATCCTTACCTGGCAAGCACTTTACCAACTGAGCCAACTCCCCAGACCTAAGCTTTATTCTTCAAGACTGCCCTTAAGTTTTCCAAGTGCAGAGCAAACTCCTGGGCTGGGCCTCTGTGCAGAAAGCAGCCTCTCTGAGTGAATGCATATGTGGAATGTAAATGTAGGATGCTGTGTGAGCCTGTATGTGCATTGGTCATGTTTCCAGAACTGTGGCTTCCTTTTTTGATAGCACTGACATTGAAAACATCCACCTCGCTGTTGTGAGATAATCTTTTTTTGTACATTGTGAAGATGTGTCTCTGTCTAAGGCCCCTTCTGGTTGGTTTAATAAAGAGCTGAAGGGCCAAGAGCTAGGCAGAAGAGGGTGGGCGGGACTTCCGAGGAAAGATGGGAACTCTGGAAAAGAGTCTGAGGCGGAAAATTGCCAGCAAGATGCAGAGGAAGACAGATGTACGGTACTGAGGAGAGGTAACGAGCTACGTGGCAGAAAGCAGATTAATATGAATGGGTGAATTTAAGTTTTAAGGGCTAACCAGGAACAAGTCTAAGGCCAAGCTTTCATAATGAATAAGAAGTTTCCGTGTCATTATTTGGGAGTCAGTGGTCCAAAGAAAGTCCGACTACATTTTGGCACCCTTCTGAGAATAAACCGCAAACTGCAAGTGTCTGGCGCCTGGGACGTTTTAGTCTCAGTCATGTGTCCTCCCTCCTCCTCCTCCTCCTCCTTACTGTCTGAGATAAAGGTGGTCCTTCCATCCTCCCCTGAATCTTCCACCCGGTCTCACAGTGGTCCTCAGTACTAGGACAAGAGGTTGAACTGTGAGCCAGACCCATCCAGGTCCGGGTCCAAGGTTGAAAATGCACTGGATGGCTAAGTCGCACAGGGTGAGCAAGAACCGTCCATGTGGACAAGGGCAAGAACAGGACTGTTCCAAAGATCCAAGGGGCCTGTGAAGACACCAGCAGCCAAAACTGCCTCTCCTGTTTCCCAGACCTCCATCCCTCTCCACTCTCCACCCCTTCCAACTTCTCAGACCCCGAAGCCTCCTTCATATCCACACACCAGTGCCCAGCCTGGCCAGAGCCAAGCATTACCATGGAGGCCACCCTGCTTCCCCCTCACCTCACACGGCAACCCACCTGGCATTTCCTAGCTCCCTATGAACTCCTAATTCCCCACAGTGAACATGATTGGAAGCCTTTCCCGCCTGGCTGCCTAGGTATTTGCACAATGGCTGACCCCCTTCTCATCCAAATCTCTTAATTTTTTTCAAGCAACCCTCCTCTTGCCTTGTCTCTGTTGCCTTTTTTTCTCTCCCCTCTGTGGAAGTCCATCCCCCACACTGTAGCCTTCTCCCTCCTCTTCCTCCTCCTCAGCCTACTGCCCCCAGGTCCTGTGACGGACAAGCCTGACTGTATATGCATGGGGCTGTTCACAGGACAGCACTGAACCCGCAGGGTGGCATTCTAGACCTCTTGTGGAAAGGCTCCATCTTAGTTCCTGCAGCCCCTCCCAAGTCCCTGCAGCCCAGTCAGTTCTCAGCATCAGTGCCTTTCCTCATGACCCACACCATGGCTGGTAGCAACTTCCTTCTCCACCCCAGTCTGTGCAGACAGTCACTGCTCACCCTGTGGGCCTCAGCCTGGGTCTGTGTGCAGGTAAGCAAGGCCCTCTGAAGAGACGGATCTGTGGGGAGGAGAGTGTGCTTACTTTTTCTCGGAGGCTGTTTTATCTGCATAGGCTGCATGGCTCAGTGGTCCATGGCAGAGAGGGAATTTGTAGACACCGGTCTGCACCGGGCAGCAGGCACAGAGACTCTGCCCACATTGCCTCTCAGATCTTGTCCAGGCCATTCCTACATCCTCAGTCTCCGAGCATGTTTTCCTTATGCTCCCTCAAGCCCCCACACAGCAGGTCCAAAGTCTAGGGAATTCACTGAGGTCTGAGCCTCATAGCACATTAAAATGAGGCCGGATAAATCCATGGAATTAAGAACTAACGTGAAGTTCTGGTGTTGGAAGAATAATTTATTTTAATAGATCTGTAGGCATAACATCCATTGTAGATGTTGGTTTGGAGTCAATGACTAATAAAAATGTCATTTCCTGTGATTTTTATCAATTACAGTAAATATGCCAGTAATCACCCACTTTAGCAGCTCAGACACAAGTGCTGTCTGGAGTTGAGGCTGGGGACCTCTCAGAGGCCTCAAGAGGTAAACCCCACAGGTGTAGACTGACATCTGGGCAAACAGTAGTTAAGCATGCTGGAATCTGGAGGAGAGAAGTGTTAAATGTATGTCAGGCAGGCAGATTTGGACTTTTCGTGAGGGTCTGACACATCCAACAGGAAACGGGCAGAAATTACCCTAACGGAACAAATCTTGTCATTTGCAACCTCGGAGGCAGCGGGCTCATTTAACACATCAACTCAGAGAAAATGATTGGCGAGACTCAGCCTGGAATTCATTCCACCTTTAAAGTGTGGCAGAACCAGGGAGAGCTTCGTGTGTCCGCAGATGACCCTGGGGTAACCTTTCAGCCCCTGTAGCTGCAGAATGAGTCAAGGGCCAATTGCTCCATAAGCTAAGCTCTGAGAACCTTCAAACATAAAGAGGCATGACTGGAAGCTCTTTGGAGCTCATTGGAGCTGAAAGTGTATTTCAACACTCCAAGCACTTATGTGTTATCCGCAGTCACCCCTGGCTAGTTCCTAGCCAATCACCAGAGATCCCTGTCTATTTCAGATGCCCCAACATCTGCTGTCAGCATGCGCAAGGCTGTGATTCCAGAGGAGAGACCCAAAGCCTCCTGGGCATGTGTGAAACGGGTTCAGCGGGAGGCAGGAGGCAGGGTCCCCGAAAGCCAAGCCGATGAGCGAGAACCCTGTGCTGAGTAAATGTGGGCTCCTGAAGGTGCAGCGTCAGTGGACGAGGTATGAGGAACAGCTTAGGGGCCCACCCCACTCTAACCCTGCAAGGTGAACACTGAGAACACTCAGGAGCTTTAGGGGGAGAATTTGTCCCCAGAAAGACATCAGCCCAGACCCTTCCTCCGTTTTTCTCCTCTCTGCCCCTCTCTGGGCTTCACTCAGGCAGGAATGCTAACTGCCAGCTGCGGCAGGCTGCTCTGGTGCAGACCCACCTGTGACCACATGCACACACCTTTCCGTAGACCTGTCACACCTGTAGGGATACAAACCTGCACAGATAACTGTCTATACCTGCACACAGACACACCTGCACATACCTGCAGGCTACACACACGTACACCCTTGCCCACACCTGCTCACACACAAACAAACCTATAGGGATACACACAAATACATATATGCACATGCAACTTCAGGGACATACACACACAGACACACACACACACACACACACACACACACACACACACACACATGTCCACACCTGCAAGGATACACACATGCTCACACCCACCCACACCTGATCACATCTTTAGAGGCACACACACTTGCAGGGGCATAAATAATAATAATAATAATAATAATAATAATAATAATAATAATAATCTGGTAACTTTTCTCTCTTTGTGCTTTTTCATGTCTGCCCAGAGATACTTGGTGAGGTCAAAGCTGGTCTCTGTGTCTGTCTTCAAGAACACAAAAAGAAACCATTTGTTTAAAAACAATTTTTAAATTAACTTGGTACAGTTCGACTGCTTAATGTCTTCCAAACTTAACATATTTTGAAAATAATGGTTACTAACTTTCACAGACAACTAGCAGTCCCACTGAGTGGTGAAGATGTCTCAGAGATGCATACAAAACACATACAAGGAGGAGCTGGACGCTAGTCAGAGTCAGACCTGTGAGTTAACTTCCTGTAGCTGAGAGGGGATTGGATTGAGAGACCACATCACCCCATTGGCTCTGGAGATCTAAGTCAAAATCAAAAGCCAACCTCGGGCCCAGGTAACTCACTTCACTCTGGCACAGGGATGTTTGTGTGGAGTGATGGGCTTCTTAGAATGTGAACTTATGCAGTGCCTTGAGCAATGGGCTTGTTCTGTAATCGGCAAGTTTTCCAGAAAACCTGTACTTCTTCACCCCACCCCACCCCCTGCTTGACTATTGCTGATGGGAAAATATTTGTTTTCCTCAATGAATAATTTGTTATTGTTGTTGTTGTTTGGTTATTAGAGCCAAGGTTTCTCTATGCAATAGAACAGACTGGTCTCAAACTCACAGAAATCCTCCTGCCTCTGCCTCCCAAGTACTGGGACTAAAGGCACGTGCCACCATGTCCAGCTGAATGAATAATTTTAGAATGTATGTGCAACAACGGCCTTTTAACCACACACTATTGTTAGCACAGTTGTTAATTCATAACAAGTTAACTTTCACAGAACAATGGACATGTTTTTTAAGATATTTTTTGGCAACACATTATAGACTCACTATTCAGTTAATTAAACCTCTCATCCCAATTGCCTTGGGTTCTAAGATATACATATGAGATGTTTTTATCCTCTAGAGACTGATGTACCCTTAGCCTCAGCAGCAAGTCTCTGGAATTTTTTTTTTTTTCACAGCGATACATGGAATAGAAACACGTCCCAGGCTTGTTGGAATACAGAGGAAAGATGTGTGCCCATGGAGGTAAGTTCAATATAATTTGTGGTCCATGTGATCTAGAATGAAAAATAATTGTGACAAGATCAGCTACCTTCCTGATACCTTTTTTATGTAGGCATTGTAAATCATATCCCCAAACTGAAGCATGACTCCTTTTATTTCAATACTGTTTCACCACATGGATCTGACAGAGAATACACTTTGTGGTCTCCACGTCCAACTCAAAAAGCTACAGAATTCATTCTCAAAGAATGAAGCGGGCCACTGGCTGCACTTAGTTAACATCCGGGTTTTAAAATGAACCTGCATGTGTGCAGTGGGTTGCTGCCCGATGTCCTCTAAAGCCCATAGGAGGCAACTTCTGTGATGCCAAGAACTCACCACGACCCTCCACCTGCCACCAGCTTGCCAGCCTGAGCCCTCCTGTGTCTGTTCTCTGGGCCAAGAGTTACAGAGGAACAGGGCCAGTGGCAAACACTAAATCATGCTGGGGTGGTGAGGAGAGAAATACTATACTTCGTTATTATTTGATGGTCATCCTTAGATGATCAGGATTCCAGACAGGAGCATTGCCCCAGCTGGTACAATGTTGGAAGTGGTTCTTTCTCCTTGTCGGCAAGCAGACCATGCTGCATGCAGAAGCCAACGCGGTGAGCTCATGGTGATAGGCGTGTGGTCTGAGGCTGAAGGTGATGCTGCTTCCTTTCAGCCCCTGCCCTTCACCTCGTCTCATTTTTCCTGGGACTCTCCTATATGCCCGATTTAAAGGGAATTACCTATGACTTCAATTATTTGTTTCTTATCAGCTGATGTTAAACTACAAGGATTTGCATTGAATGGACACAAAGAGCGAGCAAGTCTCGGCACATGGCCAAATGAAAGAGTGATGTCCTGGCGAATTTAGCCGAAATAATTTACTGCCATATAAAAGTGGGGAAGTGGAAGGTACAGCCTTTGACCAATAAATCCCTGCTGCCCGTGAAACCCTTATCTGGTCCCCTCCGATATATTCCACACAAGGAAGCCATCATCATTGGCTCTGGTTAGTTATTTGTAAACCTTGATCTTCTGCACTCCGTGTCCTAAATACGGGTAATTAGCATCAGTTTATCGCACTTCTGCATATTTCTTCTACTCTCCAAACACGCGGGCTTCCATTGGCTGCCATTCTGCTACAGGAGATTATGAAGACAGATTGCAGAGAACGCATGTGCTAAACGAGATTAGGAAGGAATAGAAATAGCAACTTGGCCAATAAATTCCTCGTGAGAGCCTTATCATGCAATTACACGTTGACTAGCTTCACACTCTCCCGGCCTCTTAATCCAGTGCCCCCACCAGGAATAAAATTTCACTAATTTCTGAATTGCTGCAGATCCTCCTGACTTGTTACTGAGAGCGGTTGGGAGACGAGGTTCTGCCGAACACGTCGCGTCGAACTTCACCATAAAAAAGTAAACTTTGAATGTCAAGGTGGGTGGCACACGTTGGGATGTTCAAACAGCGCGGTGTCGTCGCGGTGGAGTGAGCACACACCATCTGGGTACTCAGAGTCATTTCACTTTTCTCTGAGTCCCACGTTCGCTCATGGTGCCAAGTTTGGGGACTGTGCCCCTCCTGGTCTGTCTGAAAGGGAGGGCTTCCTTGCCTGTCCACCAGACTTACGAAGCGAAGCGTGTTTAAAAGCCAAACAGTGCTCCAGGTGATGCTCCTTCGCGTTGAGCCGACAGCAGCCAGGGTGCTCCTGAGCAATTCTGGGACAGTCCCTCGACCTCTTTAAGTTCATTTTCCTCCTTGCTCACACAGGCTGTCTCTCATGTGCTTTATCCCCCACTGCACATTCAGGTGTATAAATAGGAAAATCCTGCCCACTCTGCACCGTGAGAACAACCAAGAACACTGTAATAGGACTTCTACAGGGGGATCGTGATTCTTGTCCCTCCCTGCCTGTTAATGTTATTCTCCCCAGGGCTTTATAATAAGTTAGGTATTTAAAGAGGCCCATTAAGCCTTTCGATCTACCAGGGGACTATTTATAGCACAGAGCCACAGTCAGACATCATGAGGCCCCCACAGAAGCAAGGTATTACAGCAAGAACCCCACAGGACTGAACTTCTCTTTGCTGGAAGGCATACACGGACATCCAGATCTGTGCTCCCAGAAGGGTGGAATGGATTAATTAGCTAAGAAAGTCCACAGCCATTGTGATGCAAGTTTTTATGTGTAGGTCACGATGTGGCCTCTGCTTTCTCTTCACCAGGTGATTCCTACAGGGATTTACTGAGTAGAGGGTCTCGTGAGCAATCCAGAGAAAGGGTTCTAGGTTTCCTTTCCGAAGGTTCCTCACGGGCCACATTCAGAGATGGACCAGGCAGCCTCCATGCAGTTGGCAGGCATCTGTGCCTCTTCCACGGGAACACTCTGTGCACTGTTCTAGAGCCTGGTTTTGCTGCACAAGGAAGAGCCCTGGCAAGATGAACAACCACCCAGAATGCAGGTATGCCTGGACCTTGAGAAGGATGGCTTTGCCTTTTGCAAGTGGCCTGGTCTTTTGTCAGCTGGCTGGCAAGGATTTTGTTTTCCAGAGGGAAGCTTTCACTCATCTGGAGTACGGGAGAATGAGCCACGGCCTGTGAGGCACATGGTGATACTTGTCTGAAGGAGTTGACTCTAAGAAACCACAGCACAGATGCCTGAAGCAGAGAGACAAACAGCTGCAGTGGCTGCCCCCCCCCCCCCCCTTGCAGGCACCTCTGTCTCTGGAGTCACCAAGAACAGCACAGAGTCTTGGAAGTTGGAGTGCTACCTCCTTGCTCCTCTGACACCTGTTGCTGAGGGGCCAGGATAGCCGGGGCCCTGCTGGGCCGGTGTAGAAGGAGTAAGGTGGTTAGTGGTGTTTCCTCTCTGGAGCCTTCAGGCTAGATTGGGAGTTCTGTGCGGCTTCATCCACAGCTCTGCTCAAGCCGAGATGCTCTTCAACTACTAGGCCTAAGGCACACGTGGCCGCTGGAGCTCAGCTCAGCAACTGAGACTGAAGGACCCTCCGGAGCCCCAGAAGACCCCCGCCCGGGGAGTGACATCAGTTGGGGAGCTATTAATAACTGCCCTCCCCTCCCTGTCATATTTCCTGAACTGGTGAGCTTTGTGGAGGGGGTGGAGTAGGAGGGAGCTGCTTGCCATTAATCTGGGAACAAACAGCTAACCCCGGTGACTGGTATTTTCGCTTTTCTTTTCTCACTTTTCTCAGTGTGGGGAAGGCGATTGTGAGGCGCTCTGCTGGAATTTGGCAGCGCGGAGGCTTGGAGAGCAGCCCCATGCTGGCTCCTATTCAGCCGGCCAGTTTTCCTCGAGCTTTGGAAGTTTCGCTCAGCCGTGCACTCAATGGCTTCACAAAGCTGATTACAAGCTTCAGCGCATTCCTGAAGGAGCCAAAAGCGACGCAGGTGCAAACGAGCCGAGGGAGCCCCTTATCCCGGTGACAGAATGGGACAAGCTGGGAAAGGCTTGGACCACACAAATCCAAGGCTCACCAGGCAGCAGAGAGCCTGCCTTGGGAACCGGGGGTCATTATCCGCCCTATTCAGCGGGGCCGGGGACCCCGGGGCCGGGTAGGCCGGCCGGGCGCAAGCACCACCGCCAGTGTGCGCCAACGGCAGTGGGGACCCCGCTGGGCGCTGCAGCCCATCGGGATGTTGGGCGCTGTGTTTGTTCTCACCGACAGCAGTCCGCGAAATCTACCTTGTTCCTGAAAGCTGGTGTCCACGCTAAGGGGATACAGGAGAACCAGGGTGGCGAAGATGCGCTGTGCGTCGACAGCACGTAACTTCGGTTGTTGAGGGCGCACTGGCCTGTGCCTGTCGCAGGCCGCTCTCAGCTCCCCCTCACCCCCCGCCCCAAGTCTTGGAACCCCCATCCCCTCGCCCTCAGCTCTTCGTTTTTCCTCTCTGCAAAGCCTACGGAGAGCGAGCTCCACAAAGTGCGGTGGGAGGGGCAGTGGCCCGGAAGGGGTGGATCACCAGGTGGTCCGGTGCACCTAGCAGGGCAGTGGAGAACGCGGAGCCACGTCTAGGGTAGTTAAATCACATCCCTGCCAGCGACGAAAGGACTACCGGCCGCGATGACAGGCTGGCTCGGCGCCGTAGAGCTTGCAGAAGGGACAAGCGTGGGACAGACTGAAGTGGGACCGCTGGAGTTCAGGGGCGGGCTAATCCGACCCTGTGGGCAGCCCCTTCCCACCGCATCCAGGTCAGCACAGCAGCCTAGGTCCCCCTCTGCGTCCTCCCACTCCCAGCCTCACGTCGCGAGGCCTCAGCCCAGCCCCACGCTTTGCCCGGCTGCACCCCGAGGTGCCCGCGTGCAGGGCGCGGGCGGGCAGGGCGCGCTTGCCGACGCTCTTTTGTCTGATAACTAATTTGAGTTAATGCGATCTTTATGTAAAGCTAACAGCGGATAATTGTCTATTTTCTCGCCAACAGTCTCCATCGCAGTCACTTATCTGGAAACCTGCGGCTGGATTAATCGCTATATTCCCAAGATGAGCGGTGCGGCAATCCGCAGTGTAACTCGGGTGGGAACTCGAAAGCATCATGCCCCCAGGCTCTCCCGGTGCCAGCAGCCGGCCAGCTCCCTGCAGATCTGAATGCCGCACCGTTGCTAGCACCTGTTTGGATTCGGGTGGGGATGAGCAGGCACAGAGGCGCACAGAGGATGTGGGGGAGGAGAAGGAGACAGACCTGTGGGGACCCCGGCCTGCGAGAGGCACAAAACTGCCTGTGGGAATAAAGCCTTTTGACCGGACAGAAATGATGCTGTAGACACTTCAGACCGTGGCCTATTTAGATGCAGAAATATGCTCCCATCTTGATCTTCCAACCTCACCTCTACCCCACCCGCCTCTGCGTCTTAGGCCCCTCCCCTGGAATTTCCTCTTTGTGAGTCCTGGTTCTCTAAGAAAAGAACTGGCAATATTTAGGAACTGTGGGCGTGGAAATAAATCCTTGTTTTCCAGCCCCTCATCCTACCTACTGGAGTTGAAGGTGGTGGGCTATGGTACCAAAGCTCCAGAGAGGAAGCATGTGCCTACAAAAACTTTCTCAGCTGAGGTCAAAACATCAGCTTCGCGGGAAAAATCATTTTGGTGCCCGAGGTGCTGTGCCGGGGCGACTTCTCTGGAAGTGTCAAAACCCATTGCCAGTTTGTGAAAACCAGCACTGCCTCTGGTCTGACTGGCTGGCTAGTCACTTGGAGGTAAACCCTCTGCTGTGGAGTATTTTCACATCTCGGCTTTGCCACCCCGCCCCCACCCCCACCTTGGTGTCAATTTTTCAAGATGTCATTTCAGGAGAAGAGGAAATTCCATTTCACACTGTGACAGCCTTGGGCCTCCGTTTCGGCAGCATAGTAAGTTCTACATGGAACATACGTTCCAAGAGTGAACACCCATTGGTCCGTCACATTTTTAGATTGTTAGAGACGAAGGGGTACCCCGGGGATGCTCCCCGAACTGGGCCCTGCAAGATCCTCTTAAAAGTCAGTTTTCCCCTCCACCGACAGTGGGAGGAAATCTTCAGAAGCGAGCACGTGACTCCCTGCAAACTAGCTCAAGCCGGGGTTCCCAGGACAGCTCCTCCTCATGCCCTTTGGACGTCAGCCCACTGTGGCTCTCACCTGAGTCCTGTCACCTCTGCCATCTCGAAGTGATCTGTGGACAATGCTGAGCAGGACAGCCCCTGGTCAACCAGGCAGAACAGTCTATGCAAATGTTGGAGGCCTGCCCTGGGAACAGTGCGCCCATTGTCCAGGGCCTTTCAGAGCCGGGAGCAGCTGCTCAGACTTGCCGCCCCGGACCCGTGGCTGCCACAGTCATGTCATCCTTGCAAGACATCAGACTCTGAAAATTATACGACCCGAATTCATGAGCAGCCTTCTCTTGAGTGTTTCTGTCTGTGACAAGTTGCAAAGTCCAAAGCTGCTTCTGTTGTTGGGGACAGGAGGAGGGTGTAGGCAGGAGCAAGTCTGCGGTTGCTTCTTACTAGAGGATTTGAAAACTTTACAAACTGTCCCTGGGCTTCTGAAGAGGGGCGGAGGGGGGGGTGTCTGGCTTGAACAACTGCGAATTTGAGGCTTTTCTGTCTTCTCTTGCTGCTCTTGTAAGTTTAGATGCGTGGAGAGGAGTCAGGATGAGGAGATGGAGCAGGCCTGCCTGCCTGCCTGCCTGCCTGCCACAGGTGCTGACCTCCTTTTCATTGGCTTCAACCCAAGCTGTACTTTCTAGAGAAGCAAGCAGGCTGACTGACTCAACACTCTCAAACCACCTCAACTCTGAGTCCCTTCAGAGGGGGACCCAGGGGCTCATGTAATCCACATCCATCCATCCTCTCTCCCTGCCCCCGCCCCCCAAACCAGGACAGGAAAGGATGCTCTTGGGCCAGAGGTTGGTGGTTCCTGGGGTGGTAAGTGAGCATGGGGACCCAGTACTGGGTGGCCTATAGTTACCTTCTGCCAGAACCTGGGAGTACATCCCTCTAGTCTCCAGGCACCCAGCCTAATGGGGAGGAATTTCAGGGATACTGAGGAGGCCCAAAGGTCCAGGTAAGGCGGCTTCCACCTCTCCTTCAATAACTGGTCCCAGGGACCTCTAGTGTGCAGTGTGTTGCATTTTCATTTTCTTTCTTTCTTTCTTTCTTTCTTTCTTTCTTTCTTTCTTTCTTTCTTTCTTTCTTTCTTTCTTTTTTTCTTTCTTTCTTTTTTTCTTTCTTTCTTTTTTTGTTTTTTGTTTGTTTGTTTTGTTTTGAGACCAGGCCTTACTCTGTAATTCAAGCTGGCCTAGAACGCAGTGCAATCCACCTGTCTCAGCCTACTGAATGTTAGTGTCACAGGCCTAAGGCATCCTGCTCTGTTGACATGTTCCCTGCCTCCTCACAGGACTTTGCTGCTGTTCTCTCTCTGCCTTCTGCCTGGGTGGAGCAAGTTCCCAGTAAACACCAGAAAACCACCAGACCGATTCTAGAGGGATCAGCCCCAAGATAGAAAGGTTGCAGAGCATGTCCTCCTGCACTGACTGAGTACGGCCTCTCCGTGTACCCAACCCTACCAAGGAGCTTTCTCAATTCTTGATAGCCTGAATGGGGAGGGCTTGAATACATGTAAAGTTCAACAAAATATTGTTTTATAAACACAAGAGAAATGGTGGAAAAATAAGTGGAGAAGAGATCCTGTAGACCATGAGGCTTATTGATTTGGGTTGGAGTCTCTGGGCATTCCAGGCTGCCCAAAACCAGGGAGACTAGGGCAGCCATGGACACCACTGTCATGGGGAGGCCAGCATGATATAAAATGCATGGACAAGGTGGGCTCTCGGTATGTGGCAGTACCTGGCCCATGCACACAGGCACACACAGGTGCCAGACATCGACCTTTAGATTCACAAGTGCCTGACTCCCACTCAAGCACAGGGCATTCCCCAGCTCCACAACTGTGTTCCAGGTGAACCCTGGATGGTTCATCGGGACTCAGTACCTGACCTCCAGGCTGCAGAACTTGAAGAACCCTGGGCTAGGCACACAGGGCAGAGTGAATGAGTCCAAGGGTCTTTCCTTCTGTCCTTTCAGGATCTGATTTTGTCCTAGAACTTGACTGGCCTGTCAGATTGTTTCCTGTCCTTCCTGATTTGCCCTCTCCATCTGTATTTATTCTGGGTTTGCCCTCAGAATGCCATACAGACTCCATGTTATTCAGGATGGTAGCTGGCCACCCCGCATTCAGTCCCTAAGCACCCAAAATTCAGAATATCACACACCCTGGATTTAAAGATTTGGAATGAGAAAGAGCTCACTGACTGTTTGTGATGTTGGCTACAGAAATGGCTGTGCGTGAGATGTGTTGAATTAAATAAAAGGCATTATTAAGGTGAGCGTCACTGGCCACTGCACTTGGAAGTCAATGTGGCTTTAGTAACTCTCCTTCACTGGCTCTGTGTCCTTTGCCGGCTGCCTTTGGTCTTCCCAGGATCCTTTAGGAAATGGAAAAGGAAGAAGTGGGGAAAAGATCTGGGCCTGAAACCCAGCAGGGGGCAGCTGGAGCTCCTCCCAGTTCTTTTCAAAGTTATTCTTACAACAATCAAAGCTTCCTTGTTTTCAGGACCAGGCAAGAGAGCCTCATACTGTATTTATTGCTTAAATCATATTCTTTCTATTTTAGCTTTAATTCGGTTTAGTTACATTGAGATCTCAGCCAGCAATCCATGAACCCTGCAGCAACTTTTGAAGAATCTTGATGCTAATGCTGGATGGTGGAGGAATACTGATTCTAGGAGTCACTCTGTGGGTTCTATGGCATTATAAGGAAACTCTCTGCTATTTCCAAACTTCTAGTCAGCAGTTGACACTTCTGACTTTAAATTTTTCCTGCAAATGTATCACCAGGTCTAACTCAAATAAAACAAGAATTCTGAACAGCAATTTGCCTTCTGTGAAAAAGGTCTATCACAACCAGGAATGAGTTCCTTCTAGAAATTCTTTTCTTGGCTAACTTGAAGTTTTAGAACTGTATGAAATCAGACATGGTCCAAGGAGGCCACAAGGAAACATGTTTATAAACTTTTATTTTTCATTTATTCATTTTTTTGGGAGGCGTACATGCCATGGTACACATGGAGATCAGAGGATAATTTTCAGCGGTCATTTCTCTTCTTCCCACTGTGGGTCCCAGGGATCTAACTGAATTCATCAGGCTTGGCATCAAGTGCCTTTATATGCTGAACCATCTTGCTAGTCCTAGTAAACTTTAATGCTAAAGATATTAAACTTCCATATAATATTTTAGATACTAGATGTCTGGAAGTAAACTTGTGAAAACTAGAGATTTTGTTTTGTCATTTGGTAATAACAAATGAAAAAAAACTGCTCCAAGCTTATTGTCTATAATATATTCTACTAAAGTACACCATGAAAATTTTACATGCATAAGGCTTGGAGTATGTACAATATATTCAATATATTTATTTTGGGGGTTGTATAATCAATATCAAACAATTCAGGAAAATGTGAAGTTAAGTCCACTATGCCAATAACTGGAAATATCTCAGAGATGATTTGAATAAAATTAAAATTATTCTTCATCATAAAAGGAGCTATTCTGTTGTCCATTATTTGTACGTCCATTTACTCTTCTGATTTCTGCTGAATTCTGTATCACTAAAAGAAAAATTATAAAATACCAAACACTGTCAACATTTTATGGATAAATGAGTTGATATGGTTTCTTTGGGGAATGCATTCCTTGCAAAATATTATCCTTGGAATTTTCTGTTTAACTAGTAAGAAATGAATAGAAGTATCTTAGTCTCTAATCACACTGTTGTCTGTCTGTCTGTCTATGTGTTATTGTTTGCAAGAGACAGGTTCTCAAGTGTCCCAGTTTGGGTTCTAATCCACTGTGCAGCTGAGGCTGACCTTGAAGTTCTGATCCTCCTGCCTCCCCCTCTGAGGACTGGGATTCCAGGTGTGTTCCACCATGCCCGGTTTTAGGCAGTTCTGGGGATGGAGCACAGAGTTTTGTGCCTGTTGGACAGGCAGGCACTCTACCAGCTGAACCACACCCAAGCCCCACACTATACATTTTTAGTAGTTGCTAAGGAAATGCCTTCAAATGGGACACATGTCTTGCTGAAGACATCGGCCTCCTATTAGCAGTCCACGTGGTGCCTTGGACATACAGGATGGCTGGTGTGTCCTTGGGCAAGGTGCTTCTGTTTGTGACAAGTCACCTTTGCTCTCGTTTACGCTGACCCACGTAACTGCCAAGAGAAACACCCAGACTTCAACCATTGCCCATCCCACTGCCCCACTTTCCCAGAACCATGGAAGATTGAGAGCATCCAGAGTGCTGAGCAAGGATGGAGGACGGAGCAAGGGAGAAGGCACCAGAGGGGCAGTGTACAGATCCCACATACTAAAATTCCAGTTAACTGATGCGCAGGTTTGTTGAGCAAGTGCATCACAGCCTCGTTTGCTTCATCATCTTCTAAGACCAGGGAGACTTTTGTGGGCCTTCTATTTTCCTTTTCTCCCCGGAGACTACAATGGTTATGCACTTTCAAATATTCACAGGCAAGATATTGTGGATAAACAGCCCAAGATTCACTAAATTAGGTCACCGCTCATATGGGGCCAGTGTTATATGTCCCTTGTGTTGAAATTATCTGGTGTCAGCTGCATTGATTGAAAAATTGAAAAAGCACTACAGACCAGGGGGGGAAAGTCTTATTACAAGATGTCTCAAAAGCAGATAAGAAAGGAACGAGGGCCTCCTGTAAACGGGTCTTATCTAGATTTTAATATGGCAGTAAGCAAATTATAAATGTTTTTGCAAGTAAGATAAATTGCATAGGGAAGCAGACATATCTAAAGCTCCCATGATTCTAGCTATATATACTTCGAGTGTTCACCAAGCCGTGTGTGTGTGTGTGTGTGTGTGTGTGTGTGTGTGTGTGTGTGTGTGTTTCCCCACCCCAAGTCACATTCCATGTAAGGGCAGAATCCTCAGCAGAGTCAGGATACGCCGCCTGGATAATTGTTCTCATTCTGGAAGAGATTGATCAAGACACTGAGGCCAACACCACTGTGAGAGCCCCTGGCCTTGAACCCCCTCATCAACGACATCTGCATCAAGCCAGTTTCTCAGAATGTCTCTCCCAAGGATGACCTGGAACCTGGGCCAGCTTGTATAGGCCCGGAAGACTGTTCTCCAGGCTTTCCTACCATGATCAGAGGCCAGTGGCCTTTCTTCACTAGCCGGCTTCTTAGTAACATTTTGGGAAACCAGTAATACTAGTTGGAGCTAGTCCCTGTTCTCTGACCAACCCAACTTAACTAGCTCCATGTTCCAGAGGTATCTGAATTGTTCATGATCACAGGTATTATTTCTCAAGACATCAACACATCAGACATTAGTGAGAATATGTCAAGATCGCAGTCAGGTGGCCTGGGAGCTTAGGACCCTGGAGGATGCCGCTGTGTGTCTGAGTGGCACTAAGCACTATGATCTTCCCCTTCAGGTCCAAACTGTGTTTCTGATGGGAAGGTAATGCTTGACCGTGCAGTGAGAGCTGAAGCGATGAGAGCTGAAGCGATGGAGAGAAGCAGCGTCCACTGAAGGCCACTGAGCTCCCTGCGGCGGCGGCGGCAGCGGCGGCGGCACGGCAGGAAGGCGAGAGGGGCGACTAGCCACAGCTGCGGTGGATGTGGGTGCTGCAGAAACAGCTGCCAGGACAGAAATAGGAAACAAAGAAGTTGGAGGCTGGGGTCTGGAATAGAGAACACTTAAAACACCCGATTGCTTGGGGAGAGAAAGGATCTGGACAGTTCAAAGTCACCCCAGCTAGGTTTGAAGGCCTCTACTTCCTGTCTGCTGCAGACTGGCTTCAGAGAACCCATGTCCTTAGGAAACCTAGCGTCTCTTCTGGGGCCACTGTAGCGTCTAGGTGTCTGTGCGTAACCACCTGTGTCCCTCACGTGTGGGGAGCAACGAGTCTGTGAGACAGGGGCTGGCATACATCTCTCTTCTTACTTAACGAAAGTTAAGTATCGTGAAGAAAGTCACATCTTCAGGAGACGGTCCTAAAGCTCCAAGGGCCAAGTCTAGAATCAAGGCCTTTGCTGTCCTTTCTGGGCTTCACCGGCATGGCGCTTCCTCAGCCATCTCGTGACCTCTCGGTTGGTTCACCAAATGCAGCGAAACCAGGACCTGAGAGTCGGCGGCGGCACAGGGCTATGGGCTCCGTCCAGGCTTTTCACACCTCTGCTGAGGTTTAAAAGGCCTTTTGATCCCCCCCCCCCCCGTATGCAAGGCTCTCTGTGTCTCCCCACAGGTTTGCTTTCATTCCGACAATACTGGAGGAGATATGGGTTAAGGGACTCCAGAACGATTATAATAGTGAGCGTTTCTGTGGGAGGCAAGGAGAAGCATGGTCACCTTGCTCTGGCGGCACGGCAGCTCCGGGAATCTCAGCCAAGCAGGACAGGCAGAAGGACATCATTCTAGGCGGGCGAAGAGCATTAGCAAAGGCACAGAGGCATGGGATAGCAAGGCGTCTGCAGGGCGGGAAGAGAAGCATTAAGAAGCCTGTGAGGGAGGGGTAACTAGGCATGGTTGGAGCTGGGCAGCAAGAGAGGCTGTGTTTGTGCAGGGCCAAAGCCCAAGCCTGCAGAGCAGAATGGAAAGGACAGTCTCTCTGGAAGGGGTGGGTTGGGATCGGGAAAGAGATTGGACTTCATGCTGCTGGACAGACAGACGGAGACACATAAAGAGAGGTTGTGTGTCTTGATCCATTCATTGGAGGAAGGAAGTGAAGAAGTCAGGCTTAACAAGGGCAGTGTGGAACAGTGAGCACACACGTGGGTCGGGAGGGAGCTTGTGAGGGTGCATGGTAGGGTGATCTCCATGTGCGTGTACTTGGAGAGGGTGAGTCTCAAAGATGGCACTAGCTAATTGAATGTGATTCTGTTTGCTGAAGCACTTCTGTGAGCGGGTGGAGAGGGTAGGGCCTGTGTGAGTGTGCCACGCTGGCTCAGAAGTGCTTTCCAGGCTTTTAATGAAAACATTGATTACTAAGGTTATTATCTTGGTAAAATAAAGTGCTTCTCCCACTGTGATGGGCTTTAAATTAAAAACACTGGTACTAAAACACAAATGTGTAATTCGCGTTTAAATATTCACTTGTGTTATTTTTGTTGATTTCGTCTGTGTGTGTATGTGTGTGTGTGTGTGTGTGTGTGTGGTAGTCATAGATCAACATAGAGTGTCCTTCTCAATCACCACCCACATTATTTTTTGAGACAGGGTCTCTCACTGAATCTGAGTTTTACTGACCGGAGTGGTGGGCTGAGAGCCTCCTGATTGGTGTGTGCCACCATTTTTAACCTATGTTCTGGAATTGAAGCATGTACCAGTTGACAAGTGTTTTTGCTGACTGGGCCATCTCTCCAGCCTCTCCATTGAATTTTTGTTGTTGTTGTTTTAATTATCACATTTCAAAAGAATGTTCATCGTGTTTGAGCCGGAGGCAAGTTGGGAAGCTTTTCTTTCAGACCTGTAGCGGGTGCTCAGGTCACATGATCTTAGCCAACATGCCAGCACTTCCTGTGCCCTCAGCTGGGTCACCTCGGCCAGTTCTCAGATGCCCCACAAGGCAGTTTTTAACCTCATAAAAGCTGACTTGCTGGTTAAGAATCTGGGGCATCACTGGATTCAGATCCAGGATCTACGTGGCTCAAAGGATCCAGGATCTGCGTGGCTCAAAGGATCCAGGATCTGCGTGGCTCAAAGGATCCAGGATCTGCGTGGCTCAAAGGATCCAGGATCTACGTGGCTCAAAGCCTGCTTTCCACTCTCCCTGCCTTCCATGTTGCTTTACAAACAGTGCATTAGTCAACTTCCTCTCCCTGACAGAATCTTGGATAATTCCAGCCAATGAGACGAAGAGATTCTGGCTTGTGGTTTCAGGGGCTCCGTGGTCCTCAGGCCTGTGGAGAGGCCCACCGACCAGAAACAAAAGAGAAAGACCAGCAGAGTTGGGGATCCAACACCCCCTGTGAGAATGCAGCCCCAGTGACTTAACTCCCTCTCCCTTGTACTAAATGGTCTACTGTAGCAGGAATCTTAAAAGTTCTTATTAATAAAATCAAACCTGAGGCCAGTTATCAGGGTGAATTGGAGGATCAGAGAGACAGAACAAGACACAGTTAACCTCACCTGGCCAACTTCTCAGCTGATCTTGTTTCCTCAGACTGGAAACCTCTGTGTCCTCATATCCAAATGGTTCTCAGCTGAACTGTGCTGCTCAAAACCTAAAAGCTTAACCAGCCAAATGCTTAACCAGCCAAATGCTTCTAGTTTCTGGTTCTCACACCTTATATAGCTTTCTGCTTTCTACCATCACTCCCTGGGATTAAAGGCTCGCTTTCTGGGATTAAAGGCGTGAGTCACCATGCTTGGCTGTATCCTTGAATGCTAGGATTAAAGGCGTGTGCTACCACTGCCTATCCTAAGTATCTAGTGACTTTTCTGTTCTTTGACCCCAGATAAGTTTATTAGGGTACACAATATTTTGGGGAACACAATACCACCACAGTCTACCACCTTCCCAAAGTGTGTGTCATCCATTGTCATCCAACCCTCGGTGGTGTTTAGATGACAGTGTGAAGTGACTGGGAAGAAGGCTTGTGCTCAGCCAATGCTGAACCAAGAAATACACAGGAAACAACAGCACCCTCCAGCAACGTGCTGGAGAACGGAAGGGAGTTCCTTTGCCCCTGACCAGCACAGGAGACCCCTTCTTCCTGCGCCTCATTTTATTGTGCTACCTACCCATCAAAGGCCCATGAGGGGCATGCTCCAGGAATGCCTGTCATCTTCCCAAAAGCTTGGCTAATTGCTGGCACTTCTGAGCTGTAAAATGTTTTGCATTAAGATACGCCCATTTCTCTTTTTGCACACTTGCTGGGCAAACACGTGCTCTATGCACTGGGAAAACAAACCATTGTGTGAAAATTCCTTTACCATCCAATTTGCTTTATCACAGAGGCCTGAGGCCAGCCTGCAACATCTCTAAAGTACACATGTAGAGATGATTTGAAATAGATAGTATTGGTAGGATGTACATGTGTACAAAAGTAAATAAGTAAATGAGGCTGGGTATGGTGGCACATGCCTGTAATCTCAGCCCCTAGGAGATAAAGGCAGGAGGATCAGGTTGGTCCATCCTTCAAAGACATCTTCAGTTACATAAGTTTGAGGCCAGCCAGAGCTACATGAGACCCTGTCTCCATAATAAATAAATTAATGCAACATGGATATTTTTGTCCTTAATAAACAGATGTTGAGAGGAGGAGCCCCTGAAATTAGAGTTTTTCAGTGAGGTGGAATCGGACAGCTCTGGTTTGGGTTTGGAATGATCCGAAAAGTCCATGTTTGAGTGTTCACTGATGGCATTATTTATTAGAAGTTGGTTGAAACCCAGAAAGTCAGACCCAGCTGGAGGAAGTAGGTCGTGGGGGGGGGTGTCCTTGTCCCTGGCCCGTTCTTCTGCTGCTTCCTGTCTGCCCATAGGTGAGCAGCTCTGACCCTCCACTGCAACATATAGATGAACAGAAATGGGCTGAGTTTAAGTGTAAGAGCTAGTCAGTAGTAAGCCTGAGCTAATGGCCGAGCAGTTTTAATTAATATTAGCCTGTGAGTGTTTATTTGGGTCCGAGCAGCTGCAGGACTGGAGATTTGTCCTGACTGTGAGCCAGGCAGGACCAGGAAAACTTTTAGCTACATGTAGGACCACACGTATGGACAATCCTAAGAGGATGGAAAGATGAAGGCTGGGCAGAGCTCCTGAGTACACTGTCAGGACCAGGGACTTTCTCACACAAGACAGGGCTTCCAGGCTGGGAACTAAGAGAGCAGCACAGAAAGGGAGGACTGAGTTGGGAGCTCTGACCGGCAGGGCAGCATACTTCTGGGTTGAGCCATCAAATCCCTCCAGGTATAAGATCTTAACACCCCTGCTCCACACTCAGAAAGTGGGCCCCCATTAACACCACCAGTGCGGTTGTAATTAGGTGAGATGTGGTCCCTCTGAGCAGGCAACTCGGAATGCAGCATGACTGACATCTTCTCTTTTTTCAGTTTTATGAACATCAGTGTTTTGCCTACATGTATGTCTGTGTGAAGGGGTCAGGTCCCCTGGAACTGGAGTTACAGACAGTTGTGAGCTGCCATGTGAGTGCTGGGAATTGAACCTGGGTCCTTTGGAAGAGCAGTCGGTGCTCTTAACCTCAGAGCCATCTCTCTAGCCAACGAGCCATCTCTTCAGCCCGTGACTGACATCTTAAGGATGAGATCAAGGGCACACAGAAGAGCCAAGACCATGTGAGGGCAGCAGCAGGGACTAGACAGCCAGAAACTGCCTACGAAGCTGGGATGGTGTTCAGAAGCCGTCGAAACTTCTCCCCGGACGCATTAAGGCCTGGCTCTGTTTCCGTAAGCTAAGATTTTCACTCCCAGAACCTTGAGGACAGCGTCAGTCCTGTGGGCTGGCAGCACTGTGCTCGGGCCACCACAGACACGGTCTCAAAGAGAAAAGGCAGCATCTTGAAAAGGGGAGTTGCAGGCAGGCTAGAGGATGTATAGTCTCCAGGGCTGGAGGCAGGGGTGGAACACTCAATGCCCAGGGCAGGGCTCCCAGGACAGAAGGCAGCTGACCTCAGCCTGAGAGAAGGGGCTTGTGAAGAAGTGGACAGCTGGCTTCACCCCTGCAACCTGCCGGGAGATGTTCCCCAAATCACACCTGGTTCAAGTTCTGGGTCAGGGAGATCTCAGGCAAGCTGACGTCCTTACCTCCCCAGGTGAGGGGCTGAACAGGCCTGAAGTCCCTGCAGTGATGATCAGGGTACACCTCCATGCCATCTGCAGCTCGGGGATGCCCTGGGGGACACAGACAGTGTGAAATGCCCCAGTTGACCTTTGAGGAGAGGCATTTAGCAGCAGCCAGCGTGGGTGAGCTAGGGAGGCTGGAACACCCTGGGTGCTGTTGGCATGTGAATGGAGAAGCAGCGAGGACTCTGTAGCTCATGGTTCAAGAGGCATTAGGAAGCTCTGCACAGGCAGATGCTGGAGCTGGTGCTCAGTCGGGCGGGTCCTTACTCCAGCATGCGGGAAGCCCTGGGCTCAGCACGGTCTAGAGCCAGGTGATACACACCTGTATTCCCAGAAGTTCAAGGTCACCTTCAACTACATAGTGAGTTCTAGGCCATCCTGGGATACAGGAGGAAAGGAAGGGAGGGAGGGAGGAAAGGGGGGGAGGAATCTTGGATGACAGAAAGCTGTATCAGTGCTCACTGTATTTGCACCTACACACACAGCACCAACACCCTTTCCCTAGTCCCCTGAGCCAGCAGGTAAGGCGTCAGCTCCTGACCCTCCTACTTGGTCTTCTTTCCTGGGTGGTGGGCTTTTAGAATAAATTGGACCGAACGGGCCACCTATTCTAAGCCCTCAGTTCTGGTGCATGGCGGGCCGCTGCTCCAGGGGTGCAAGGAAAGTCGGTGACAGGCAGAGCTGATTTCAGATCTGATTGCAGCAAGCAGGGCAGTGTAATTGCCAATCAGGCGAAGGAGATGAGATTCAGAACTTCATCATGGGCAGCCCCACCTTGGAGTCCTCCGGAGCAGGCAGCACTGGCTACTGCCACTCAGGCCCTGAGCCCGCCACTCACAGAGCAGAGAGGCAGAGAAGCCCCTGCATTGTCACACTGAGCTGCTGGACCCCCGCTGGGCCCTGCCAGCCCCAATCAGGGTCCTCTTGGGAAGCTGCCCCTTCCTGAGATTGCAGGGGAGGCCAGGATGGCCTCGGGGTCCTTAATGAGCTCAACATCAGCTGCAGCTTCAAGACTCAGCTGACACGATGGTCCCAGGGCTGGGTGCAGGCCTAGAGGCTGCTGCTGGCCACGGCTGCCCGGTCCTCCAATGGGTTCAGACTGGGACACCACCTGAGGTGAGAGGCGTCCCACTGCACTCACAGTCCTCTGCAGATCTCCGAGCGAAATCACACACTCTGAATTTGAATATGAAGGCTAATAAATGAGACATGAAATCAAAACTCCTCGTATATCAAATGCGAACTGCACAGCAGACAGGACTTTAAATAGATCTGTGGAGACACGCTTCAAAACGGGCAATCTGGTTACGAAAGCTCAAGAGCGCCAGTGACTTTGGGGAGCACACAACGGGGCGGGGCCGGCGCATGGCGGATGGACCCTGCTCCCCCTGGGATGGTTGGGGATACGTGGCCTGTCTTCTTCCTCCGTGTTCAGACCTATGGCAGGATCTTTGCTTCTGGCTCCCACTTGACCCATTTAGAGGCCTCTGACTGCCTTCCCCAGGATTTGTCAAACGGTGTGAGTTCTTTCTCTGTCTCTCACGCTACATGTAAAGCAGGACCCGTCTTAATGTGGCCTGTGTCTGCCACACTGAGGGCAGCGCTCTGCACAAGGTGGACTTGCTGAGAGGGTGAAGAGGGGGGGACCTTAAGAAGGGAGAGAGGGGGAAAGGAAGGGGGCAAGAAGGAAGGAGAAGGGAGGAAGGGGAGGAGGGGGGAAGGGAGGGGAAAGGGAGACAAGGGGGAGAAGGGGGAGCGGAAAGGGGAAGGAAGGAGGACAGGGAGAAGGGGGAATGGGGGAGTCAGGGGGAGGGGGAAAGGGGAGGGAGGGGAGGAGGAGGAAAGAGGGAGAAATGGCAGGGAGGAGGAGGGCAGAAGGTGGAGAAGGGGGAGGAAAGGGGAGGGAGGAGGGGGGAAGGGAGTTGAGGAGGGGGAGGGAGGGAGGGGAAAGAAAAGTGGATAAAGGGAGGAGAGCAGGGGGAAGAAGAGGAAGAGTTAGAAAGGGGAAGGGAGGAAGGGAAGAGGGGAGGAAGGGAGGGAGGGAGGAGGGAGACCAAGGAAAGCAAGACTAGAAATGAAGCTAAATCCCAAATCTGCCAGCAGTGCCTTTCGGTCTCCAGCTTGCAATGTCGGAGAGAGATCAGCCCCTTTTCCACAGGGCACCACAGGGTCTCAGATTTCGGGGGCCTTGGAAGAGGTAGCATGCATAGGTCTGACCTTACCACCCAGTGCTGCCTGAAGGGGCAGTTTCTACAAGGCACACCAGACACCTTACAGATGCATCTCCTCCCCCAGGAGGCCAAAGCCAGCTACCAGGGCTGCAGGCACAACTTGTGAGAAGCCCTAATGTTAACATGATTATTTTTGCCTTTCCTCGCTTGTATTCTCCCGGAAATAAGAAACACATCTTATTTTAGGGATGAGGCACCACAGGACATGTACAGACCTGCTTTAAGCATAATGATACAGGTATAAGATAGACAGATAGACAGACAGGCAAACAGACACAGGGTATGTGAACTTGAAAAAGCAGTACATTGCCTTTGTCAATGTCTTTGGAAAAATGAACTCTACTTTCATCCATGGTTTTCCTATGTGTGAACTTGTCTGCCTCTAGTCTGTAACTCTGGTGCCAAGAGCTAAAAAGCCTCCGTTTTAAAAAAATAATAATTATTATTATTCTTAGATTTACTTACTGTGTGAGCATTTGCTTGCACAAATGAATGCACACCATGTGTTTGCCCGATGCCCAGGAAGGTCAGAAGAGGATGTCAGGTAAACATGGAACAGTTGCATGCCGTCATGTGGCCACATCCTCTGGAAGAATGGCGAGCACTGGTAAGTGATGAGCCGTCTCTCCAGCCCCTAAAGTCCGAGTGTAAGTCCTGAGCTGTGGCACTGCAGTGTGGGTACGAAGGACTCTCATGGATGTGAGGAGTAGATCACTTTACTCTTGACTCAAGGTCATGGGTTGTCTCTGGAAGTTCTGACTCCACGGTCATTGCATACAGGAGGTGGGCCTTCCAGGAAGTATGAGAGTGACAATATGTGGCCAAAGACTTTGGGGATGGATAGGTCCTGGGGTTTGCTGGTTTTCTGTAGCTCCCCCATCCTTCACCGGCATCTCTTTCCAAGAGTTCAGACGCCAGCTGCCATTCTATGCCACGGGTGCTACAGGTACCGCGATTGTTCTAGAAACCCCCAGTGCAAAGATTTGCACAGTCATTGTTAGATTCTCCAAACACAGTCACTTAGGAAGAAACAACCACGGTGCTCTCTGGCCCAGCTCTCTTCAAGGCATGTGGAAGAGCCGTGTAATTGCTGCTGCCTTCTGGATATTTGCATTAAGCAGCACAGAGTGCATTTTGCAGCTGTTTTTAGGAAATAGCAGGAAGAGATGATGGATATAATGAGGCTGCTCTTATGACAACTCCAAAGCCCAAGTTTTGTTCGGTGCCAGGGGCGAGTGTGTGCGTGGATGTGTGGTGTGTAGGTGAGTGAGAACAACGGACTGTGTCAGCCTGCACAGATGTTTCTGTGAGTGTGAACTGTATGTGAGCATGGTGAAATCAAGACTCCCACCACTGGGGAATAATTCCTGGACAGACGTGGACAAACATCTACTCACCCCACATAGGGAACTAGACTGTTTGGTTCTTGTCAAATTGACACAAGCCTAGACGTATCTAGGAAGAGAGGAGCTCAGTTAAGGAGCTGCCTCCATCGGATTGGCATGTAGGCAAATCTATGAGGCATTTTCTTGATTGATGATTGTTGTGGGAAGACCCAGCCCACTGTGGGTAGTGCCACGCACGGGCACATGGTCCTGGGAGGTATAAGGAAGCATCTGCTTCAGCTCCTGCTTGGGTTCCTTCCGTGGCTTTCCTTCGTGGAGGACTCCGAACTGAAATAAACCCTTTCCTCCCCAAGTTGATTTTGTTCATGATGTTTCATCACAGCAACAGAAAGCAAAGCAGACCAGGAACCAATGACAGGCCAAGGTAATGATAATAACAACACCCAACATGGTGAACCATGAGTTTCTTGGGCTTTTAAACAGAAGCATGGGTGAGGGGTCACTTACAGAAGCAGAAGTGACTCAGCTGCACCCCCAAAGCCCACCCTGGCGTGGGTGACAGCTCACAAAAGCCTGAATCCTGCACAGCTTACAGGCAGCTCAGGTTGGAGAGAGAGAGTCCTCCGCGAAGGTGGGCTTGTCTGAGGATGTCTCTAAGCAGTCCATGCTGCACACATAAGCTTGGGGAGTTGTGGGTCTAGAGGATTTGGTTGGCTTCAGGGACTTTCTGAAACTTCTAAGTTGTTTATCCCCAAATCTGATGAGCCTCCCTTTAGAACATCCTGAGTCTTCACAGCTTCCCTCCAAGATGGAATGTTTTGTCTCAGAGGACACACACACACACACACACACACACACACACACACACACACACGGAGGGGGGCACGAACAGCCTTTAATTTCCTTTGCCCTACCTGGGAGGCCTGCCTCACACTCTCACAGAGCACATCCCCCTCTACAATTAGGGTTGTGTCTTACTTTTATTCTGCTAGTAGTGATTTGGACAGAGCCAAGCTTTTTAATTGTGATAATTTTAATTATTATTTTATTGATGATGCTTTTCACACTGTATTTAAGAACATTTTATCCAACCAAGAACACAATTTTTGTTTGTTTATTTCTACATTCCTCCTAAAATTTCCCCATTTGGGTATATTTTTTTAAAAAAAAATTTAAATCTGCTGGCTGTGATGGTGCACTCCTTTAATCCCAGTACTTAAAAGGCAGAGATAGTTCCAAAAGACAAGTTTTTAAAAAGTTGCCATAAGCATTTGTTAAAGTGATGTGTATGTGTGCCTGCGTGCGTACGTGTATGTGTGTATGCATGTGTGTGCCTGTGTGTATGTGTGTGTGTGTATACATACTTTCATTTCTTCTAGTTAACTATGTAGATTCGAGACCACAAGTTCTTGCAAGATTAATTTTAATTTCAGAAGAATTCTGGAAAGTATTTTGGAGACACGTTTTTTTGAAGACATGTTTTGCCTTGCATGAGAATTCTGGTCACTTTGCAACCCCACCAACACTTAACACTGTGATGAAAGCTAGCCATCAGAAAGCAGACTATGAGTATCACACACACAGCAGCATGTCCTGAATGAGGGACATTGGGATTGTGTTGGTGTGGCTTGCTTTTCTGTCTGACTTTTCTTTGGTAAAGTGAGTCTTCAAATATTTAGTTGACTTCACCACTGGGCAGCTTGGTTTTATTGATGACTTTGACAATTCTTTCTATACCTTGCATAAGCTCTTTGTCGGGCGGTAATTTAAAAACGTCTTGGGATAATCTGCACCTCTCACCTGTGTTGTTAGTAGTGATCTGAGCAGATCTGAACTTTTCAATTTTGATAATTTTAATTTTCCCTTTATAGATTATGCTTTTCACATATTTAACAACAGTTTATCCAACCAAGAACACAATGTTTTTCCCTACATTTCTCCTAAAATTGCTACAGTTTTGTGTTTTACATTTACGTCTGTGATCAATTTCTAGCTGTAGATAGAGGGCTTGTTTTCCATGCTGCGTCCAGTGGCTGCAGAGTCCCTGGCTGACAGGACCTTCTTTTCTCCATTGAATTATCTTTGTACTCTTGTCAAAAATCAATGTGTGAGTCTATTTCTAGACTCCATCCTCGGGAATCGATCCCTGTCTGTCTTTTTGCCAATACAGCATTGTCTTGATCGTTGCAGCTGTAAGACTGAGTTTGGGGATTAGGTAGTCTTAATTTTGTGCTTTTTCAAAATTATTTTTCTGATTCTAATAACTTGTCTTTCCACGTAAATTTTCAAACCAGCTTGTCTGCCACAAAAGAGTCCTGCCAGGGCTTGATCAGGACCGGTTTCATATCTGCAGATGAGTTTCCAAAGGGGTGACCAGCTGAGATTGCCTTCTGATCCACACACAGGTACCGAACTGTCCATGCAGGCCTTTTTCATCATCCTGTGGTTTTTAACACGCGTGTCCTGCCCTCTATTCTGTGATATAAACACCTAAATATTTCACTTTTGTGAAAGTGATCACATCGCTGGTGAAGAGATGTAAGGTTTTTTTCCCTTTACAGTCCATGTATTTTTTTCTCTTTCCCTTATCTATTCTCAGGAGGAAAGATTCTCATATAATATTGAATAGAAACAGTGGTGAGGTTAAATGCCTTACCTGGCTCTAGTCTGGTTTGTTTTGTATTATTATTATTATTATTATTATTATTATTATTATTATTATTATTACTATTAAAGACAGTATCTTGCTGTACAGCCCAGATTGGATTGAACATACAGCAGTCTCCTTGCTTTGGCGTCTCCCATGCTGACAGTACAGACATGTGCCTCCACATCCTGCCCATTCCCAGTGTTTTAAGGACGTCTTCCAGAGTCTACAGCAAGATGGTTGCAGGCTTACAGATTGGCTTTGTTTGGTAAAAAAAACAAAACAAAACAAAAACTTCCTGGTTTGCTGAGGTTCTCTATCAAGGTTTGGTTATTTGGTCAAGGGCTTCCTCAGCCTCTCCTAGGACAGTCATTCTTGCCAGCCAGTTTTTGTGCGGAGCAGAGGAAGCACTGAGTGAGAGATGCATAGGCAGACATGCACACAGAATAATAAAACATTGTTTTAAAAAGAGAAGCTACCCAAGAAGCTTCCCTTCCCTCCCCTTCCCTCCCCTCCCCTCCCCTCCCCTCCCCTCCCCTCCCCTTCTGCCCCTCTCATCCAGTCTCCACCTGTATTATCACCTTCTCTCACTGCTGTGACCAAATATCTAACAAAATTGATGCAAAGAAGGAAGAATTCATGTTGGTCACAGTGATGCTCAGGGCAGGGAAATCACAGTGGTGCGCACACGAGTCTGCCAACCTTGTTGCATCCACAGTCAGGAAGCAGAGAGGGCCGAACACGCATGCGCAGCAGGCTTCCTCCCATTTATTCACTCCAGGACCCCAGATGACAATGAGCATGCTGGGGTAGGTCTTCTCAGTAGGTCTTTCTCTGCCTGAAAACACCCTCGCAGACTGTGGCTGCTAGTTTTATGTCAACTGGACATACGAGTCATCGGAGAGGAGGGAACTTCAATTAAGAAAATGCCTCCTTAGGTTCCGGCTCTAGGGAGTTTTCTTACTTAGTGATTGATGTGGAAGGGTCCAGCTCATGGTGGGTGGTGCCATCCCTGGGCTGGTGGTCCTGGGTTCAATAAGAAAGCAGGCTGAGCAAGCTGTGAGGAGCAAGTCAGTAAGCGCCCGCCATGGCCTCTGCTTCAGCTCCTGCCTCCAGGTTCCTACCCTGTTTGAGTTCCTGCCCTGACTTCCAAGATAAACTGTGATACGAAGTGTAAATGAAATAAACGCTTTCCTCTCCAAGTTGTTTTCCGTAGCGGTGTTTTGTAACAGCAACAGTCTTCCTAACTAAACCACAGCCCCACCCACATATGCGCTTCCACAGTGATTCCAAATGTAGTCAAGCTGACAGGAAAGAGTGACCCTCAGACAGCCCTATCATCCACCGGCCACAGTGGATGGACACTTCTGTTTATGTTCCGTTTATCTATCCTACTTTCTTTTATAAAAGTGTATGTGCCATAGCCTCATTTCTACTTTCTGCTTTTAGAAAAGGTAATATAGAAACATACTCAAGCATCTTAAAAACAAAAACAAAAACAACCTTGCCTAGAAAGCTCTCCATGTTGGGTCTTAATGTGCCAATACACGGGGCTGAAATGGCAGGACAATGCTCCAGCTCTGGGATGTGTGGATCCCTGTCTGACCTCTTAGCCTGGCCAATTTCTTCCAATTCCTTCTCTCTCCATATGAGACTCTGGTTTCTCTTATCATCCCTCCTTCATATATAGACTGTCACAGCCACTTCAGAAGAGCTACTGCCCATGGATAGCCCTTGACCTTTGCTTAACCACTAGTCACCGGACCTGGAACATGGCCTGGCCTGGCCCTCTGTATCCTGACCATATCCCTCACTGACTGTTGCCTGAAGAAACCCAGGAGGTTGTTCCAGTTCATGCACAACTCCCTGCTTCTCACCCTAACCCTTCTGAGCTGGCTCCTTGTCAACAATGCTCTCCCTGCAGGCAGGATGGTGTAGTTCTGTCATACATGGAAGTCATACATGGGAGATGGTGATGTGGAGTGCACTGTCGGTGTGCTCACAAAGCACTATAGTTGTGAGCACAGTGCTGGCTTCCTGACATGCTGGTGTCCTGTCTCTGCACCCCAGCCTCAGGAAGACCTGGGCTGAAGAGGCCTCAAACACCCTGCCGAACTTAGAACCACAGGACATGGAGCAAGAGGCCTTGAAGCAGATGGAGAGATTTCCCTTTCTGATTCCTTTCCAGTCGCCCCAATAGTAAACCATCCCCTTGCTCCTGGGTATAAGGTCCTGTAATTTGTTACTGTTCTGAGCTGCACCCTGAGGTCACCAGGTGTGATGGAGACAGAACTTCAGTGCGCAGCCAGGGCGTTGCTCAGGGTTTTTTGTTTTGTTTGTTTGTTTTTTGTTTTGTTTTGTTTTGTTTTGTTTTTAGTGTGTTCTTCACTTTCCCTCTTCCTTGTTTCCTTGTCTTCCTTCCTCTGGTCAGTCTCACTCCTCCCTCTATGCCTACTCTAACATCTTTTCTCCAAATGCATCCCTGTCCCCACTGCTCTCCAAATGCATCCCTGTCCTCACTGCTCTCCAAATGCATTCCTGTCCTCACTGCTCTCCAAATACATCCCTGTCCCCACTGCTCTCCAAATGCATCCCTGTCCTCACTGCTCTCCAAATGCATCCCTGTCCCCACTGCTCTCCAAATGCATCCCTGTCCTCACTGCTCTCCAAATGCATTCCTGTCCTCACTGCTCTCCAAATGCATCCCTGTCCCCACTGCTCTCCAAATGCATCCCTGTCCTCACTGCTCTCCAAATGCATCCCTGTCCCCACTGCTCTCCAAATGCATCCCTGTCCCCACTGCTCTCCAAATGCATTCCTGTCCCCACTGCTCTCCAAATGCATTCCCTGTCCCCACTGCTCTCCAAATGCATCCCTGTTCCCACTGCTCTCCAAATGCATCCCTGTCCCCACTGCTCTCCAAATGCATCCCTGTCCCCACTGCTCTCCAAATGCGTCCCTGTCCCCACTGCTCTCCAAATGCATTCCCTGTCCCCACTGCTCTCCAAATGCATCCCTGTCCCCACTGCTCTCCAAATGCATTTCTGTTCCTACTGCTCTCCAAATGCATTCCCTGTCCCCACTGCTCTCCAAATGCATTCCTGTCCCCACTGCTCTCCAAATGCATTCCTGTCCTCATTGTTCTCCAAATGCATTCCTGTCCTCACAGCTCTCCAAATGCGTACTGATACAGATACAGATTCTTTAGGCTAGCCTCCAACTTTTTGTCTAAACAAACTGGTATGCCTTATGAATGCTCTAAAAACATTCTAATAAACTAAAATGTCATCTAGGGAGTGAGGAGAACATGAAAACAGGGCAAGAACTGTTGAGGGGGATGGAACTCTTGCCCGTAGTTGGCAGAATGCAGACAGCTGCTGGAGAACATACCATAATATGGTCCTGTGTGAAAAATAAAAAACAGATTACTCCAGCATCCAGAAAACCTGTGTGTTGAAGAGACACCAAAGGCTCACTCCTGATTACTAACTACAGCCCAGGTTTGGAATCAATTGACTGTTTAGCAGTAGATGAATAGATAAATAAAAGAGGTCCCAGATCTGGCAGCTAAGCCTTTCAACATCCCCTTTCTGAGTCTGTCAGCTGGCACTGAGTAAGAACTAGTCACTTTGAGCAAACACAGTTTTCACTTCAATGTTCAAGCACAGGAGAGATATCGAGTGCTCAGAAGAATGCATCAGAGTTAGATAGCAATCCAGAATTGGTTTATTTTGAGGACTGGAAAGATAGTTCAATGATTAAAAGAAGTTGCTGCTCTTGTAGAGGACCTGGGTCCAATTACCAGCACCCATACCACCTGCAGCTCACAGCCACCTGTAACTCCAGTTTCAGGGCACCTAGTATCCTCTTCTGGATTTTTAGGGTATGCAAACAAAATATTCATACATATATAATAAAATAAATCTTTCAAAACATTGTTATGAATTCCCTGGAGATCATGGAGAATGAATGAATAGATTGTAGAAGGCTAACTAAGAGAGTGCCTGCTATCCATGTTGCTATACTGAACATTGTTTGGTTGTTTTGTTTTGAGTCAGGATCTCACTATGTAGTCCTAGCTGGCCTTGAACTCACAGAGATCTACTTGCCCCTGCCTCTTAAGTGCTGAAGTTAATAAAGGCATGGGGCACTACCCCCAGCCTGAATAGGGGTCTTTCGAGGAAACAACACAAACAGTGAACCTTTTCACAATGTGCCAGATCTTGCTAATGTTTCCTTTAGTAGCCTCTTAGCTGCTGACTCCAGAAACCAGGCAACACTTGCTTGCAATGGTGGATAGTGGCCTGCACTTGCCCACTCTTCGTAAAAAGGTTTCATTACAAAGTATTGCTCTGCTTCCCTCCACCATGTTCAACAGATTTAGGAGAGCACCTCAGAGATGTGCAAGCACATCTAAATCCCACAGACTGCTGCTATGGCCAAACATAGTTACAATATTCTTGGGAGCTTGATGATTCTGTAAGACACAGATGACACCCCACAAGGTGAATGAGAAAAATCCCCCAACAGCCTGTGCCTGTAAACATTAGAAAAACAGTTAAGGAGATTGAAAAAAAAAAAAAGTGCCCTGTGTATGTTCAAAAAGACACTCCCAGAAGCCACAAATTCCAATGCCACAGATGGGCTACTCCCTAAGTGTTGTTGGCCCCAGAGCCCCCGCCCCCCCCGAAATAATAGTGCTGGTTTTGCCCACCAAAACTAGATGGCAAGGTTCTATTGCTGAATACATCGGCGTGTTTTGATCGCAGGACGTGAGAAAACAAGCTGGAACCGAACTGGGGGCTCCCTCCTTGCTGGCTAGCTTGTGTTTTGCTGGAAGGAACTCTGAAGGCTGCTGGAGGAGACTTGTTAAAAATAGCCTGCTTGGTTGCAGATCTTGCATGCTACAATATCAACATGCCTGGAAAGTTGTGCCTGCTGATGCAATCGTGGGGTGACTGCTAGGCGCGTAACCGACTGCTTTCCAATTGGATTTGAGGCCTGTGCCACAGGATGGAATTCCCACCTGGTACTGTAAACCCTGTCAATAGTCTGTGCTTTGGGAGACCAGAGGACACAGTGAGGAGACTACCAATGTCGTTTTAGTAAAGGGATATGCTGTTTCTATGAAATTGCCTTTGAAATATTTGTATTTATGACCACAGATGGTTGCTACTGTTTACCACATTTAGGGAAACTAAGATTTGAAGTAAATAGCAGTTGCCGTGGAGACCCATAACTGGTCAGAGTGCAGAGAAAAGGCACTTGTTGAATACCCAACTCTAAATAGGCTGCCTGTGTCATCTCCTCCAAGGCTCCCGGATCCCTGCAGAAGAGAGAGCAGAGAGAATGTAAGGGCTGGGAGAAGGAATGGAGTGTCCTCCAGGTAGCTTGAGCTCTCGGCAGCTGTGATTACCCACACAAGACCTGCTGCTCAAGGCTGAGCCTGTTAGCATTCAATCATAGAGGGAAGGGAGGGGCTAAAGAGACAGCGCTGTAGACACATGAGGCCCTCACCCCTG